TATATATATATATATTCAAGCCCAGAGAGGTAATGAGTTGCTTAGGCACCACCAGTGAAAACTTAAATATCAAAGGCCTCAGAAATTTTACTTTCAATCTAATTATTAAACAAATATTACTTTTCTCCTGAAAACAAATGAATGAATTCTGCTCACATCTGAATACTCATTCCATTAAATGAAACTTCACAACCCTACCTTTTTTCTGTCTCTTTTTAATGATTCCAGTAAGATGCTTCTTTAATGACTCCACAATGTGTCTTTCATTTTTTATACCTTCAACAAATGTGTGATGAAGCATGTTTGCAGAAGTGGGACGAAATAAGAAGTTTTTTATCATGCATTTTTCCATGAAATTGTGGAACTTGCGGGACCTAAAAAAAAAAATGAATCAAAAGGAATAAAAGAGCATTCTCAGGCCTGCAACACCACCTCCCATCTCCATGCACATGCCACTCTGTAGTTATAGTTTTGGAGATGGTTGCCTCTAGCTATAATTGTCTTTTCATCTGCCAGATATTCCGCAGCTTTATAATATACACTATAAAGTAATGCCATTCAAATCTCAGAAAAAGAGGCAAGAGTCAGTGGCATTGTCTACCCAAATTACAGTAGAAACTTCAATGAGATCATCTGTACATGGTAAAAAGTGAAGTTGGAGATATGGCAATTAAATGATTACTGTAATACATGTAGACTGTAAGACTATATTGGTCAGCCCACAATAGTCATCCTCTGAAGCCTGAATGTTTCACTTTATATACACTCTTTGAACTACAGAAGCATAAATATAATGATCCAATAAGTGGGTGTTACTAGCACCAGGGCTAAGTAATTTTATAAAATGACCCATAAAAACAAATGTGGCCAGAGAGCCTGACTCGGTGGGAAGTGCTAAACTGAATTACAAAGAAGTATGTCCGTAATCAAGCCATAGTCACCACTTCTACCAGGACAAGTAGTAAATACTAAGAATAGATAAGAGTTTCAGGACTAGATCAACAAGCTTCAGATAGAAGGGTTTCCACGTTTAGCTCACCTCTAGCATCTTGGGAGACCAAGTCCTCTGCTTAGGTCTGTGAATGTTTAATTTAATGGGCCAGACAATAGGGCTGTCGGTCAATCACTGACTACCTATCTAAGTACAATGAGCAACTTCATAAACAGTTGCCATTGGTCCATCCCATTACTGGAGAAACAACTGAATATGCCCATTAAGGGCAGGGCAGTAATGTCATCATGATATAATTATGAAATTACTTATTTCTACTTGGCTAATTAGAACTTCATTAAAACTGGTCATTTAGTGCTCCTAGTTAAGATACTGGTTTTTTTAGGAAATATTGTCCAACAAGGACGGTGAAGTAGGACTGACCAAGTGAATGAAAACTTCCTTGCTACATAAAAATGTCAAGTCAGTGTGTTTAGCAGATTAAGATATTCATCTTTACCATCCACTGGATTTGACTGTGGGAGCTGATTCCCGCAAAATAACGAAGAGGGCTTCCAAGGGCTGAAGGTTACACAGGGCTGCAAAGGGAAATAGGTGAGTTTAGAAAAAATGAAAAGGCTAACTACAGAGTACACTCCTCATTCCACAGGGGATTCTCAGCGTTCTCTGATATAGCCTGCTGAACAGGCACTAAGGAATGAATAACGACAAAAGAATGTAGATTAAAGGAAAAGCTCATTTTAACACAGCGCATCATGGAAGATTCTTAAGCTCTACCACCTCCAGGTGTGTAAAATGCAGTTGACAAATCAATAATAAATGAAACTAAATGAATTTTTTGAAATGGGTTATTGATGATTTATATCTAGAGAAGTAAATGAGAAGTGGAGACAAACACACTTCTATTTTTGTATTGTAGGCAGGTATCTACCTTTGTAAAATTGGGATATGTAATTTATAGGCTGAAAAGGTCAACTAGGCTAGTATGTAAAATAATATATAAAGATGATTTAGTACTTTAAAAAGCTGAGAAGAATCTGTTTTGAATGCTGATAGTTCTAGGAAAAGAAGCAGATCTAGCGCAACTAAGAGCACACCCTCTAGAATAGACTGTTGTTGTTGTTAGCTACTGTTGAGTTGATTCTGACTCATAGCGACCTCATGTGTGCAGAGTAGAACTGCTGCATAAGGTTTTCCAGGCTGTGACCGTTCAGAAGCAGATCGCTAGGCCTGTCTTCCGAGGCACCTCTGGGTGAGTTCGAATTGGGTTCAAATCCTAGCTCTGTCTTTATGACCTTGGGCACATTACTTAAAGTATGTGTACTTTGGTTTCTTCATCTGAAAAACAGGAAATATGTCAGGAATTCCTTCATAGAGTTACTGTGAGGATTAAATGGCAACTTACATGTAAACGTGTCTGGTATATACTAGGCACTTAATAAATATTGGCTATTAATATTTTAACAAAGATTTTAATTATGTGGCATTTCAAGGCCTTGCCAAATTACTTGGATTTCATTCTCTTTTTCATACACACAGCCACACACAGAAAAGCCTATTCCAGTATGCTATATAAATTAATTACCTCATTGATTCAGGAATTCTCAATTTTTCTATAAGCATTTAAATATGTGTCTAACTTCACTTATTCCCTCTTGTGTTTTGATTAAAGAAAACTGGCGGTGCAAAAAAATCTCCCAAGTAGAGCCACAATGTAAATTTCATCTAATGCTACAAGTGTGTCCTTCATATGAGGACAGTTTGATATTAACAACTCTTTAAAGCCATCCTTCCTCTCCCAAAATACATATGCAGGAAAACAATGCCAAACCGGCCTCTCATAGTAGTAGAACGAACTCTCCACTGTGATGTCATTAGAGTGATATAAAGGCAACTGTTCAAAGGTCAAGCTTTATTCTCCATTACACGGATATAATTTAATAGAAGGTGTAAGTTTATAATTGAGGTCAGGATTTGCCCCAAGCTCAAAACATCAGGATCATATTTGATGTGTTTCATTCCTTTACTGTTACCAATCAGTCACCAGGACCTGTTCTTTAAACGTAAGGGAGTTGTACAATATTAAACAGTTGTCATCTATTAACATCTGCACATCATTCAGTCAACTAGCAGCATCTTGAGGGGTTAAGGGATAGGACATACACTAGGTAAGTTTCCACTAAGGAAAAGGAGAATTTTTCAACATGGCATTATAGACAGAAGCACTATGATGTCCCTCTGCAGCAAAGACCCGAAAAACTAAGTAAAACCAATACAAACGTCAATCCTGGAACCCTAAGCATCAAATTAAGGAATAAAGGACTCGATCAAGCACCGAATGGAATAAGAAACTCACAGAGAACAGAGAACGAGAAGAACTATGAAGTGGAGGTCCTCTGTCGCTAATGTGGCACGGATTTGCCATCTTGCACTGCAGCCACCAAGGATCGCAGACAGGGAGTACAGGAAGGTAACTTCACAGAGCTCCCAACAGGAGACAGCACCCAGTAACCACGGTTACATGCTTTCCCACCCCCTACCCTTCTTCTCTGTACATGGCCTCCTCCACTTTCCAACAGGCCATGGTTGCTTGGCCGGAGACACATCAGCTCATTGCCACTCGGATTTGCCAACTTGGACCTCAGCCAAGAAGGACTGTGGACAGAGAGTACGGGAAGGAAACATCAAAGAACTCTAAACAGGAGACAAGGAGCACCTGGAAACCAGGAATACACACTTTCCCATCCCCCACCCTTCTTCCCTCTATGCAGCTTCTACCACTTTCTAGCGGGTCATGGTCGCTCAGCTGGAGAGACCCCAGCTCACTGCCACATGGGTCCACCCTGCCCCCATTGGCTGGCCCCTTCAGTGCCATTTTTTTTGTTTGTATGTTTTTGTTATTCTTTTTTAGGGTTTTTTTAATTGTTTCTCTCTCCCTTCCTTCTTTTTCTTTCTCCCACCCAGGGAGCCCTGTGTGCCACCCCCTCCCCTTCTTGATGGGTTGTGCCACACCACTTGGCTAGAAAGCCACCAGTAAATGGCCACCTTTAGTTTGCACTGCCCCTGCCAGCAGGCTCCCTCAGTGCTTTTTCTTTTCCTTTCCAGTTTCTTCTCTCTCTCCCTTCCTTCCTTTCCTTTCTCCAGCCCACCTAGCCCCGTGAGCTGCCCCTGCCCCTTCTCAACAGGCAGTATTGCACCGCTCAGCTAGAGAGCCACCGACACCTGGCCTCCCCAGGTCTGGGCCACCCCCGACGGCTGGCTCATTTGGTGCCGTATTTTTTTCTTTTTTCTTTTTCTCTGTTTCTTCTTTCTCTATCCTTTCTTTCCTTTCCTTTCTCCTGTCCACCTGGCCCCGTGTGCCATCCCTGCCCCTTTTTGATGGGCAGTGTTGTACCACTCAGCTAGAGAGCCACTGACACATGGCCTCCTTGGGTCTGGGCCACTCCCAACAGCCAGCTCCTTTGGCGCTGTATTTTTTTCTGTTTGTTTCTTCTCTCTCTATCCCTTCCTTCCTTTCCTTTCTCCTGTCCACCTGGCCTCATGTGCCATCCCCTTCTCAATGGGCTTTGCTGCACCACTTGGCTAGGGGGCCACCAGCATATGCCTCCCCACATCTGTGCTACCCCCACCAACCAGCTCCCTCAGTGCCATATTTTTGGTGTTGCTTTGTTCTTTTTTTTTCTCTCTCTCTCTCCTTTACTTTCGCCCACCCACCTAACCCTGTGTACCGCCCTCGCCCCTTCTCAAGGGGTTGTGCTGTGCTGCTCAGCAGGAGAGTCACTGGTGTGTGGCCTTCCTGGGTCTGTGCCGCTATTCCTGACTGGCTCCCTCAGTGCCATTTTACTTATTTATTTTTGGTTTGTTTGTTTTTATTTCCTTTTTCTGTTGTTTCTTCTCTCTCTCCCTTTCCTTTCTCCCATCCATCTAGCCCCATGTGCTGTGACCCCCCTTCTTGGCAGGCTCTGCTGTACTACATGGCTGGAGAGCCTCTGGCACACGGCCTCCCTGGGTCTGCACTACCCTCAAAGACTGGCTCACTCAGCACCGTATTTTTTATTTTTCTTTATCTTTCTCCTTCTCCCTTTCCCTTCTCCCTCTTACCTAGGCCCTGCACTGCCTCCGTCCTTCCTGACAGACCATGCCATGCTGCCCAGCAAGAGAGACATCAGCTTGCCACCACCCCAGTTAAACCCCACCCCCAACGACCAGCTCCCCCATATATACTTTTATTGTTGTTATTTTTATTTTATTTATTTATTTTTTTGTTTGTCGGTTTCTTGTCTCTCTTTCCCTCTTTCCTTCCCTTTCTTCCACCCCCTTAGTCCCATGCGCTGCCCACACCCCTTCTCAACAGGATGAGCTGCACTGCTTGGCTAGAGAGCCACCGGCACACTGCCTCACTGGGTCTGTCCCACCCCCACCCATGGAATACTACCATTTTATTTACTTTTTTTCTTTTTTCCCTTTGTTTCTCTCTCTTCTTTCTCTTACTCACCCACTTAGCTCCACACATTACATCCTCTACCTTCCCTCCTGCCCATCTGCACCATGTACTGAGCGCCGCACCCGTGAGCAGCACCGACATGGTCCACTGGATCCCACCCTGCACTGTCCCCTGGCCCCACCCCATCAGCCCCAGTTTGTGCCACAAACTGCCCATCCCCACCCCTCTACCCCCACTGAACCTGCACTGCTGCACCATAGCTGAGTGACTGGCACTGTCCACTTGGATAAGGTGGTGAGAACTGTCGTGACCACGGGCGAGCAAGCAACAAAACACGCACAGCCTGCCTGCCCAGAAATAACCAAATAAAACAAAAAAGCAGGGTGAAATAAACAAATCTACCATTAATAAATGAAGAAAGTAATTCCTGAAAGTCCCAGAGACAGCAGACAATATCAAAACATATATAAAAAGAGGACAGGATAGCTCCAAAAATTGACCAAAATAAAACACCAGACGACCTTCTGGTAGAAGAAAAGGCACTGGAACTACTTGATAGGGAATTCAAAACTCTAATACTCAGGGCTCTCCAAGAGATGAATGAAAATGTAGACAAAAATAGGGAAAAAATAGACAAAATCATGGAAAATACAGACAAAGCAATGGAAGAATTCAGAAAAAATAATACAGGAGAAAAATGACAAAATAAATAAACAAATAGAAATTATACAAAAACAGCAATTAGAAATCCAAAAGATAAACAATAAGATTTCAGATATGCACAGTGCAATAGAAGGTCTTAGGAGCAAATCTGAAACAATGGAAGACAGGATCAGCAAAATTGAAGGCAAATCCTTGGATACCACTTTGTTAGAGGAAAAATCAGAAAAGAGGATGAAGAAAAATGAAGAAACCCTGAGAACGATGTGGGATACAATGAAAACCAAAAGTTTGCGTGTGATCAGAATTCCAGAATAAGGGAAGAAAATGGAAAACACAGAGGATTTTTGAAGATTTGCTGACAGAAACCTTCTCTAATATCATTAAAGATGAAAATTCAACCATCCAAGAAGCTCAACGAAACCCTTATAGGATAGAACCCAAAGAAAATCACCAAAACATATAATCACACTC